AAAATCTGAATCTAATTAGCTTTTACCCACCATCCCACTGAGGCCAGGAGGAGCACAATGCCCCAGAGGGTCATATGAATATGGGGAAGAAGATCTTATTGCTCATTTATCCAGCCAGCTGCCCTATTGCAACTATACTCCAAAAATCCTGAATCACTGGGGTGTAGATTACAAGTTAGAAGAATTGAGGGAAAAACCTGCCAACAACAAAAAATGCAATCTAGTCTTAGGAAACCAACAGAAGATCTGGGCTTTTAAAAAAAATACATATTTTTTATTGACTTCAGAGAGGAATGGAGGAGAGAGAGATAGAAACATCAATGATGAGAGAGAATCATTGATTAGCTGCCTCCTATATGCCCCATACTGGGGATTGAGCTCGCAACCTAGGCATGTGCCCTGTCGGGGAATTGAACCATGATCTCTTGGTTCATAGGTCGATGCTCAACCACTGAGCCACACCAGCGCGCGCAATATCTGGTTCTCAGTGTTCTTCTCCCACTGATTGGGAGCACTGAACATGTGGTGGGCTTTTTCAACTTTGAAATTTAATGTAGGATTAGCTAAGAGGTGGGTTATCTGTTGGGAATTCCCCGATGTTTGTATCTTAAGGTCTTTCCTCTTAGACTGTCTGATACCAGAGAAGAATTCTCTTCTGTCCTTGCTTGACAGGTGCAGTCCTGGTTGCTAGTATTTAGGAACCAAGTGGGAGAAGAACACTGAGAACCTTACAACATAGATTCCCCATTTTTGTGTGTGATATCTCCAACCTCATCTATGTATGGTGTTCTAATCATATTTATTAGCTCTTGTATATTTTTTTAAAAAAAGAATATTTATTGATTTTTATAAGCCGGTGACCTCTTGGTTCATGGGTCAATGTTCAACCACTGAGCTACACTGGGGTGATTCTCTGTAACTATTAATCATTTTCTTTTTCATCTAAATCACTGAATATCTCAAACCTTTCCTTCATGTCAATAACTTGATTTTCATTGGTATCTACTATTCTGTTATTTTAAAATTTATTAGTTAACTCTGAAATTAAGTTACTTGGTCCTCTATTTTCTTAGTTCTCTATACTCTTTTACCTCAATTTGTTGTTTTATCATCTCATCACTGAAATTTTATTTATAAAATCTACATTTAATGAGTTGTTTTATAGTTGTAGAGTTGTAAAGAAATTCTTTCTATTCATTGAGTTATTATTTTTCAGGGTAGGTTCTTTGTCTTTTGCCGGGCATTTTTCTTGCTTTCATTTTGTTTGGTGTATATTTGCACAGCTGGCATGCTAATTCTTTTGGGTCTTGTTCATTCTTGTTTTATTAATTTTGATACAATATAGATGAATTCTTGCACTGGCTGGTACGCTCAATGGTTAGAGTGTCAGCCCATATACTGAAGGATTGTGGGTTCGATTCCCAGTCAAGGGCATGTACCTGAATTGCAGGTTTGATCCCCAGCCCTAGTCGGGGCATGTGCAGGAGGCAGCCAATCGATGTATCTCTCTTGCATTGATGCTTATCTCTCTCTTCTCCCCACCACCTCCCTGCCTTCCACTCTTTAGGGGGAAAAAAATCCTCTTGTGAGGATTAATGAAAAAAATTTTTTTTAATGTTGTATAGACATACAATGGAATATTATGCAACCTTAAAAAGGAAGGAGCCTGGCCAGCATGGCTCAGTGGTTGAGCATCGACCCATGAACCAGGAGGTAATGGTTCGACTCCTGGTCAGGGCACATGCCTGGGTTGTGGGCGTGATCCCCAGTGGCAAGTGTGCAGGAGGCAGCCAATTGATGATTCTCTCTCATCACTGACGTTTCTGTCTCTCTCTCTCTCCTTTCCTCTCGGAAATTAATATCAATATATATATATTTTTTATTTATTTATTTTTTTAAAATATATTTTATTGATTTTTTACAGAGAGGAAAGGAGAGAGATAGAGAGTTAGAAACATCGATGAGAGAGAAACATCCATCAGCTGCCTCCTGCACATGTCCCACTGGGGATGTGCCCGCAACCAAGGTACATGCCCTTGACCGGAATCGAACCTGGGACCTTTCAGTCCGAAGCCTGACGCTCTATCCACTGAGCCAAACCGGTGCTGGCCAATATATATCTTTTAGACTCTTGAGAAACCAAGATGGCGACATAGGTAAACACTGGAGATTGCTGCCTTGCACAACCACTTCAAAAATACAACTAAGACAGAACAGACATCATCCAGAACCACAGGAAGGCTGGCTGAGTGGAATTTCTACAACTAGAAGGAAAGAGAAAAGCATACCGAGACGCAGAGGAGGTGCGGTGCAGAAGTAAAATACAAATGTGCAGAGGTGCATGTGGAGAGGGCTGGCGGATGAGGACACGATTGTCTTTTTCAATCGGGAGGGAGTCTCAGGCTCTGAGCTCCAGTTCCGGGAGAGTCTCTGGAAACCCAGACTCATACGGGAGAAACGGGACTGTCTGGCATCGGTCGGAACTCGAGGGCAGCTTTCTCTCGGAGGCACACGCAGCAATTGCCGGGGCCTCTGAGGACAGGACTGAGAGCAGCCATACTGCTCGCTCTGCTGGCCCAGTTGATCCCCCTGGGGCTCTGCCCCGCCCAAGCCTGGCAAGGAGGCTTTTGCATATGAAAGGCCCGGCCCTTTGTAATCTAAAAATTACTTAACAAACTGCAGCTGCCCAAGGCCCCAGGGCAACTTGCATTGCTTTACAGCTGGCTTCTGCAGGGTGGCCTCAGGCAGAGGCTAGATTAGCACCTCCTTAGATCCAAGAGCCAGTGTACCTAGTGGGCAGAGTGGGACCATCCAATTATAACTCCGCAGATCCATAAGGAACACACTCAGGGGGCAGACTCAGTGAACACCAAAGCCCCACTGAAGCAAGTCTTGCCCCATAAGGGTGTCTTCAGCACAGAAGTTCTCCCACCGTAGACACAGCTGATTCTCACAGCCAATTGGCCTGGAGGTCAAATCCTCCCAGCTTTACATACAACAATCAAGGCTTAACTACAACAAGACTGTGCACAAAGCCCACAAGGGGGTGCACCAAGAGTGTCTACCGCAGGTAATTGGGGAGGCTGAGCCACCGGGCCCTATAGGACACTTAGCACAGAAAGCCACTCTATTGACACAGCGAAGCATAAAAAAATGCGGAGACAAAGAAACAGGACACAAATGACAGAAATGGAGGAAAGCAAACTACAGGATATAGAATTCAAAACCACACTTTTAAGGTTTTTCAAGAACTTTCTAGAAACCGCCGATAAATGTAGTGAGATCCTCAAGAAATCTAGTGAGACCCTCGATGTTGTGATAAAGGACCAACTAGAAATTAAGCATACACTGACTGAAATAAAAAATATTATACAGACTCCCAACAGCAGACCAGAGGATCGCAAGAATCAAGTCAAAGATTTGAAATGCGAAGCAGCAAAAAACACCCAACCGGAAAAGCAAAATGAAAAAAGAATCCAAAAATACGAAGATAGTGTAAGGAGCCTCTGGGACAGCTCCAAGCGTACCAACATCCAAATTATAGGGGTGCCAGAAGATGAGAGAGAGCAAAATATTGAAAACCTATTTGAAGAAATAATGACAGAAAACTTCCCCTACCTGGTGAAAGAAATAGACTTACAAGTCCAGGAAGCACAGAGAACCCCAAACAAAAGGAATCCAAAGAGGACCACACCAGGACACATCATAATTAAAATGCCAAGGGCTAAAGACAAAGAGAAAATCTTAAAAGCAACAAGAGAAAAACAGTCAGTTACCTACAAGGGTGTACCCATACGACTGTCAGCTGATTTCTCAACAGAAACTAGGCAGGCCAGAAGGGAGTGGCAAGAAATATTCAAAGTGATGAATGCCAAGAACCTACAACCAAGATTACTTTATCCAGCAAAGCTATCATTCAGAATTGAAGGTCAGATAAAGAGCTTCACAGAAGGAAAAGCTAAAGGAGTTCATCACCACCAAACCAGTATTATATGGAATGCTGAAAGGTATCCTTTAAGAAGAGGAAGAAGAAAAAGGTAAAGATACAAATTATGAACAACAAATACGCATCTATCAACAAGTGAATCTAAAAATCAAGTGAATAAATAATCTGATGAACAGAATGAACTGGTGATTATAATAGAATATGGGACATAGAAAGGGAATGGACTGACTATTCTTGGGGGGGGGGAAGGGGTGTGGAGGATGTGGGAAGAGACTGGACAAAAATCGTTCACCTATGGATGAGGACAGAGGGGGGGGTGAGGGCGGAGGGTGGGGTGGGAACTGGGAGGAGGGGAGTTATGGGGGGGAAAAAGAGGAACAAATGTAATAATCTGAACAATAAAGATTTAATTTAAAAAAAATATTTTTTTTAAAAAGGAAGGAAATTCTGATACATGCTACAACATGGATGAACCTTGAGAACATTACACAAAATGAAGTAAGCCAGTCACAAAAAGACAAATACTTTATGATTCACTAATATGAAGTATTGCAAGGAGTCAAATTCATAGAAACAGAAAGTTGAATGGTAGTTTACCAGGGGCTGGGGAGAAGAGATGGAGAGTTATTGTTTAATAGATATAGAACTTCATATTTGCAAGATAAAAAAAGTTCTGGAGATTTGTTTCACAACAATGTGAATATACTAAGATTAGTGAAATGTACACTCAAAAAATGGTTAAGATAGTAACTTGTATAAAAAAGGAAGCTCTATAACATTGTCAGAAAAACAGTCCTGTTCCCTGTTCTCCCCACAGCTGCTTTGCCCCACTCCTATGCAGGATCTGACTCTACCTTGGCAAGAAAAGACACAGAAAAGCTAAGCTTGTGTGGTGAAAGAAAGTCTTCATACTGTCTCATGAGAAAACATTCACATTCTTCTGTTAATTTCACACAGTATAATCTAGTTTTCATAACTCTTTCCCATCCACTGGGTGGTTTTATTTTGTTTTAAGACATGAAGAATTGCCAATAAGAAACACCCTAGGGCTTACTTCTGCAGGATGGATCCCTTAATGACCAGCTCCTCATCCAAGTCCGCTTCATTAGCCATGAAGAGCAGCCTCTTTCCTGTGCTGTCCACTCCAATGAAGTCACGCTGCTCCACTGAATCATACAAGAGAAGGAATATCAAACAAAGACATTTGCTTTGCCTGTATGACTAAGTCAGGGAAGAGGGTACCTGCTCACATTTCTCTTGGAACCAAATACAGAACTGAGTGTTATATAGCACATACTCATTACAATGTTTAAAACAGAGGCAGTCAAATTTTTTCATTGCTCTAAAGGATATTATTAGGTTAACTGTGAATTCTGAATAAGTTCTATAGGTTAAAGTATTGTGCCAATGTAATTTCCTATTTTAGAGATCTGTCCTTTATGGAAGGTGGGTGGAGGGGAAAGGACACACTTTTCGTGTATTTAAAAGGCAAAAGGGAATGATGCCTGGCAATTTATTCTCACATAGCTCAGAAAAATAATTATATATACATTATATATTGCATATGATAATAATTGAATATTTGGTATGAAAAGATATTGATAAAGCCAAATATAACATTTTGGGATGCAAGGATATATAAGTTCTTGGCCCTACCACCGTTTTGGCTCCCAG